CGATTGAATTTGGTATACCGATTACAAAATCTAATTTACGTCTCACTTCATTTTCAGATGCGGACTGGGCTGGCGATCCAGTTACTCGGAAATCCACATCCGGTTACTGCTCGTTCCTTGGCAATTCGATCATCTCATGGCACGTCAAGAAACAACATACGGTGGCTCGGTCATCTACCGAAGCTGAGTATAGGGTGCTGGAAGCACTCACTGCGGACGTCATCTGGTTAAGACGTTTACTTAGCGAACTGGGTATTCCACCACAGCAACCCACGGACATTTATTGCGACAACACCTCGGCCATTGCTTTAGCAAATAATCCGGTGTTTCATGCACGAACGAAACACATTGAAATTGATCATCGTTTCGTTCGCGATCACATTCAACAACAAACCATTCGGCTACTACCCATTAGTACCACAGATCAAGTAGCCGACATCTTCACAAAGGCACTATCTACAAACAGATTTCAGCAACTTCGTATCAAACTGAGTGTCACTCAAAGACCGCTCAGTTTGACAGGGGATATTAGCAACAGCAACACAAAAACATAATTTACAAATTGTATATCTTAATCAATTTAAATCTGTATTGCCTTCGTGTAGCCATAGTAGTAGAAACCCTATTTATACTCCTGTACTTCTGAAAACAAACAATAAGACAAAGTATTTTCTTCTTCTGCTACGCATTCTTCTCTGATCTTCTTACCTCATCTTAGCAATCAAGATTCAACAACCTCCTGGCGACAGTGTATTGTTGCACTGCTCACCCTTTGATTCCTGCAATTCTATTTCAGCCGTTGATGGCTAACGACTCTAATCATACTGTTCGTTTTATATAATTGGCCTTACTGTAACAATGGCGGATAAGCCTGGAAGATGGAATGAACTTCAAGCTTGCTCTCTGATTTTTCCTTAATATTTGAAGTTCTAATTCCTGCTTTTAAGTTCTCTTTTAATTCTATCAAAGGAGACTTTGCAGTTTGGTTGCCTGAAAAGAAAATGCAGTATAAAGTAAATGTAATGTAAATTAAATGTAGTGCATTCCGAATACTTTAAACATGTTTGGCTGTCTTCAAAATAAACGTAGGAGAATTATTTCCCTTGTTTGGTTAGGTACAAACAAAGTAAAGTAAAAACAGTTTTTTTTTTAAATAATTTATTTTGGAATTAATTAATAACTTAAATTCACAATAATTATTTTTATTTAATTAATTAAATTTATTAGAATAAAAGTTTATTAACATAATTATAATCTAATTAACACGTTCTTATCATAAATATATCCTATTTACTATATAATTAATGATGGATTATACCCTTATTAATTTAGTTATGCCAATCAACTGTGTTGCTTAAAAAGTTATTCATTCAGCAAACAATTATCGGAAGAAAATAAGGCTACTCACCAAAAGACCAGTAAGGCATCGGGACCGGCCTTCCGATGAGCTTCGTGTACTGGTCCATAATAGCAACCGGCGTCGGTCCGGCGAAGAAGTAGAAATCCAAGATACCACCAATCACTTTATAAGTAATAAGATTCCTGCTATAAAGCACATCCATCCCATTGCTATTAAGCAACAGAACGCTGTGAGCGGCTCCGGTCGGCGATCTCACGTCCATGTAGAAAGGGTGAGAACCATAAAGGTTCGCATTTGGATTCAAGGCCGCAATGTCGGCGATCCAAAACGTTAACTTCTCGCCGGGAAATGGGGATGTGGTCTTTGATTTCAGTCGAAGGGTCCACGGAGTTGATCGGTATGAATTCGAGGGCGATGGAGACTGAGCGGGGAAGAACGTGGAACTCTCCCATCTTCTATGATTCCCGCAGATCCTAAAACCATCTCCGGCAACCCTTCAGCTCTCGATCCAATCAGCTGCACCGTATGGTCCCTTATATGTTTGCTTGAAGAGCTCCATAAGTCGGCCGTATATGTCGCTGACGATCTGATCATGATAGGGTTTTCTGGGATTCGACGGAGCCGCTGGTTTGTCTTTTTCTCCGAGTCTTCTCCACATCGCCCAACATCCTCTCCGCAATCCTCAGTTTGACTGCCAGCTTCGTCGCGCGATCGGTGGAGAAATCTGTTGTGGAGACGATTTCGTCAGCGTTTGATTTACCGATGGGGACGGCGACTCCAACGTCGGAGGTGGCTGGACAGTGGATAGATTCCGGTAGACCCGCGGCAGCCGGTGTTGTCGGTGAGTCATTGGAGATTGGGGATTATTGGAGCCGGGCCACGGCAGAGCGAGTAAGCGCCATGGAAAAGGGACGGAGATCGTCAAGGAAGGCGACGATGGTAGCGTAGCGGAAAGCCTCGCGCATGGCCTGGCGGTGAGTGCCGAAGTTGCCCGTTTGGCGTCGACCAATGACATAGATTGCACCGTCGCTTCTCGGCTCCACCGTCGCTTCTCGAGCAAAGAATTTGAAACTCGCTCATTTTGAGCGGCTTTGTAAGTCGTGGGATCCGCGTCTTGTAATACACGCCTAATGCTTCGGAAGATTTTCTTTTGTTCTGTTCAAAATTAACCAAACAGCCAAATTTAGTAAATACATGTATTTGCTTTACTTTACCCTCCTAATTCAAGCAACCAAACAGCTAAGTGTTACCTTTTTATATATATGATGTGAACATATGACGTATTATAAAAATCTCTAAAATTATGATTAAATTACTCAACTCCTTCAAAAGTAATGTAAGAGTATGGGTAGGGGTGTCAATTTTTGACCTGATCCGAATCCGACCCGGAAAAATCCGGGTTCGGGTCAACCCAAACCCGAAACGGGTCGGGTTCGGTTTGAACCAACAACCCAAAATTGACCCGAAAACTCATTTTTGACCCGAAAACTCGAGATTGTTCAGTTTTTGACACGTTTTTTACCTTAAAACCTGAGATTGACCCGAATTTTGACCCGAAAACTAGCAATTTTAGGTCAACCCCGGGTCATTCTTGTCGAGTCGGGTTGACCCGGACCCGAATCGGGTCGGGTTCAGGTCCAGAAACCTGACCCGTTTTTAAAAACGGGTTCGGGTTCGGGTCCAGAAACCTGACCCGTTTTTAAAAACAGGTCGGGTTCGGGTTGACCCGAATAGTAGTGCCGGGTCAGTTCTAGGTTCGACTCGAACCCGACCGTTGACCCGAATTGACACCCCTAAGTATGAGGCATAATCAATGGATTTATGATCACTCTCAAGCTGGTACTCCCTAAAAATAGATAATATATTCCTAGTTAATTGGATTGTAGGCACCTTCTCTATGGATGTGTAAGTTATATTTCAAAAGTGGGCGTGTAAGAATAGAGTTGGGTGATCCTCAATTGACTTTATAGGGATGCTTGATATACTACATGAAAATCACATGTTACCAACAAATTTTTCGACAGAAAATTGGTAAGTTTCTAGCGAATTTCTGGCGAAAAAACTTTTACTAGTACAACGAGCATCGAAAAAAAATGGCAAGAAAAAGACCTTTATAAAAAACAAAAAAAAAATTTATAAATGGCTGCACGAACGCATTGCCTAGGTGCCCGCACGAGTCCGCTCTTCCTGGCTGCCTATCTTTCATGTCCGTGAAAGCTCCTGGCCAGCCCGTATGGGACAACTGCCGGTTATTACCGCCATTATTACTGACCGTCGGTTAAACCGCCGTTATTACCGGCGGCTAGACAACCGCCGATTAAGACCGCCGGTAATCAATGAATTTCTTGTAGTGCGTCCGAGTTGCCTGACGTCCTACCCACCCGACCGCCTGTCTGTCTATGTGAGAATTCAAACTCAAGACATGTTCCGGTTGAGGGTATCGACCACTCTGCTATGGAGTAAAATACGATAATAATTTTACTATTTTATATTTAAACAGAATACTACATAAATTTAAATTTAATATTAATATTAAAGTTAAAACACTTAAAGTTATTAATATTAACATTAAAAATAAAAGTTATTAATAATAATATTAAAGTTATTAATAAAATAATAAGTGAAAATTATTAATAAATAAGTAAAAGTTGGTAATATTAATATTAAAGTTATTAATAAATAATTAATTAAATTCGAATATATATATATATATATATATATATATGATGGAGGGAGGGAGAGAATATGGCATGAGCACAATAAAAAAATTTATTAGATGGAGATCTTGGGTGAGATGGGCATGCCAATTGGCTTGAAGATTTACTTAGCAAGGTGATCAAGCATCTTGAAGTGATTGCTACCTCAACAAAAATAGGCTCTGTCTTGAACAGGGGTGTGAACAAGTTGAGTCAAGCCAATTAGTAACATTATAAAGCTAAGCTTGTTAAGCTCATTTTGAGCTCTTCGAACTCTTTAAATGAGCTCAAACTCAACTTGATGTATAAAAATCAAGCTCGAAGTCGAGCTTGTTTAGTAAACGAGCCCGATTACAGGCTTGAGCGTGAACTTAAAACTCAATAAGCTCATCTCAAACTAGCTCAGCTCACTTATAGCCCTAATCTTGATATATAGAATCTCACAATAAATGCAAGCCTCAAACATTGTAAATGACACTGTATATTCTTAGTGGCTTCTAAGCACTAGCGAACTCCATCATGAACTAATGCTTGAAGCAGCGAAAGGAAAAAAATACTCTATAGAGGAATGCGATAGAATCACCATAATAGCACGTCCTTGAATGTGATACATAGTAGTTTAGCCTCAACATGGCGACACATAGTGGTTTAGCTCATCTTCCCCTCTTAAGGGAGGTTATGTTTTTGTGCTATTCTTTGAAAGGCATTAGTTGGCTCAGTTTGGTGCTTTGTTGATCGGGTAATATGCTTTCAGCGACAGAGGAGAGCTGAACAGCGTGGGCGGTACACCTACCGGCGGTTGGGTTATTTAATAATAGAATAGCTAATTTTAAACTTCGTTAATGGCGCTCTTGAAGAAATCCTGAATATATATATATATATATATATATATATATGAAGAACATGAATCCATTGGAAGAGAACAGTGCCTGTAGTTTGAAGCCATGGCTGCTGTGAGAGTGCTCCACGAAATAAAAGTTTCTCCTTTTCCTTCACTTCCATCTCAACCTCCTCAAACTCTCTCCTTCCTCGACTGTATTTGGCTCCGAAACTCACAAATGGTGGAAAGGCTTTTCTTTTTCGACTTTCCTCACCCCACCTCCCACTTCATTGAACACAACCTCCCCATCTTCACCAAATCCCTCTCCCTCACCCTCCACCACTTCTACCCTTTAGCAGGATCCATCCGCCCCTCCCCTGATTCCGACGACCAATTCGAGATTGCCTATGAGGAAGGCGACTCCGTCACCATCACCGTCGCCGAGTTCGCCGGCGATGACTTCCGCAACATATCCGGTCACCAGCCACGAAACTTCAAAAAGCTTCGTCTTTTGGTGCCGAAACCTGCAAAAACCTTCTCCGGCAGCGAGTTTCCAGCCATCTCAATTCAAATCACGCTTTTCCCCAATCAAGGCCTTTGTATCGGCTTCGCAATAAGCCATGCTGCCTGCGATGGATCCGGATCGATGCAATTCATCCGATCTTGGGCTGATGCCTGCCGCTCGACCGAGCCCACGCTCCACAGCATCTCCCCTCCATTCCTCGATCGATCCATTATTATTGATCCTTGCAATATGCGCCGAAAAATTTTCAAAATGGCACATAAACTCAATGAGATGTACGAAAAGAATCTAAAGAAGCAGGATCCATTGCCAGTTTTTGATCCTCGCTTGGTCTCTGCAACTTTTTCTCTCAGCAAATATCAAATTGAGCGGCTGAAAGAGCGGGTGCAGGCGAAGGGTGCAAAAGAAGGGAAGCCATCATTTCACATCTCGGCATTTTCTGTAACCTGCGCTTATGTATGGAGCTGCCTCGTGAGAGCTCGGGGATATGATAATGAAATCAATCAATGTTTCGGATGCGTTGTGGATTGGAGGAAGAGAATGAAGCCACCGATTCCGAGCAATTACTTCGGGAACTGCTTGGGAAATTTTTTGACGGAGTTGAAGGCAGGAGAGGTTGCAGGGAAGGATGGGATTGAAGTGGCGGCCATGGAAATTGGGAAGAGCATAGATGGATTGCAAGGGAGGGATGTTGTTGAGGTATTAGAATCGGCGTTCAATACGTATTTGGAAATGATGGGGAGCAGATTATTAACAGTTGCTGGATCGCCAAAGCTTAGGGTTTACGAGGTTGATTTTGGATGGGGGAGGCCGGTGAAGGTGGAGATTACTTCCATTGGTGAGACCGGAGCCATGTCTCTAGCTGAGAGCAGAAAGGAGAAGGGAGGAATGGAGATTGGTTTGGTACTTTCTGAAGAGGAGATGAACAAGTTTGGAATGAACTATGCAACGGCTTTGTTGGATCTATAGTTGTTTGTGATTGGCCTCTTCGACTCTTGAGAGAAATTATTATGGGCAAAGTTTGGATGTAGCTTGCATCTCGACTACAATTAATATTAGTTATGTCGCCTGTACACAGAGTGTATTATACAAATCCTGTCTACAAGGTTGTGTACAGGCGATGTGATCTATTTTGATTGGAGCTCAGACACATCCAAATTCCGAACAGAATAATTTTTCATTTTTCGAAGGTGAAGGGTTTTCTATTCCATGATTCTATCTTTGGTATTGATTTTTTTTTTTTTTTTTTTGACAAAATAATTATTTTGGTCTTTATTTTAATATTTGGATGAAATAATCATCTTGACCACTTAAAGATATAGAGGTAATATTTATTTCAGATTCCATTGTACAGCATAAATTATATCATTTTGATAAAAATGTAATGAAGAGTTAGATAAAATATCAAATAGTATGTTTATATATTTTTTAACATTTATGCGAAATATGTTTTGACCTAATGCGAACCATAATCAAATAAGATTCAAGATGCTAAGCTAGTATTATGTTTTTTTATCTTTATTTGAACATCATTCGTAGAATAAATATGATTATATCTTAATTAAATAGATGTTTTAACGTAGCTTATATATTATGAAATCATGTCTTCGAATATAATTCAATTATTATATTTGTAGAATTCTAACGGCAAGAACAGGAAGAAACAAGAACAGGAGAAGAAACGTAAAGTAGAAAATGAAGTTCTGATCTCATACTTATGAAATGCATACATACATACATACATACATACATATATATATGTGGCCTTATTAAATATGAACCAATGGTTAAGTGACACCTCAGCATTAATAAGATAATACAATATTTATGTATTGTTGTGTACTAATAATATTTGACTTTGATTTCATAAATATTCAATCATGTTTGATCAATTTTCGAACATGATTCGATTAATTTTAATATTTTTTGAAGAACTATGTAGTTACAGACTAAGAAAGTATTTTTTTATAGGTAGATCGAACATCAATATTCTTATAATATCTAAAGAAGAATGGAAAGAAGACATGCAAATGTTTAGTTATCCAACAAAAAAATGGAGCAAAGGATTAAAGATAGAGAGAAACATCCCATTTAATGATCTCATTAATATGGTGATAGATGCTAATAAAAGATAATTTAACTTAAAATTAGAAGTGATGTATTCCCGAGTACGATCTTTCTGATTATCATCACCAGACTACGATCATTTTGACCACTATGGCCTGCCGACTATGATCGTTCTGACTACCGTCGTCACCGCTAATCCTACAAATATTCCAACTATAGATCCTTATGCAAATGAGGCTAATGCAAGATCAACAAGTTCACTATCTTCTACTAGTTTTAGGCTTTATGTGATTTTCATTCAATGGAATTTTAAATCTTATTGATACTTGCCTAGAAAGAGATTGGCTTGATAAAACCTAATGCATTTCGAATTGACCACTATTTGATCGTGTTAATATGACCTTAACATTATTATATATTAGTGTTATATATATAAGAATAATTCTAAGATTAACACTTGAGACCTTAATTAATTTTCATAAAAATCATAGCTATAAGGGGATGAATAAAAGATTAAAGTATTTAACTATGATTATTTTTAAGATAAAACAATTTTTACTTTTTTTATCTTAAATTAGAGGATTAATAACTAAAAGTAAATAAAAGTAAAAGTTAGGCTTTCTTTAAATAAAAGATAAACAAAAGGCAATAAAACAACTATGATTATCTTAAATTTGGGCTTTAGTTAAATAAAAGTAAAAGTTGTTTTATTGCCTCCTCAAAAATGTCCAATGACTCTATTGGGGCTATTCACATTTTATTGCCTCCTCAAAAATGTCCAATGACTGTATTGGGGCTATTCACACGTTAAATAAAAGGAAGGCACCCTTCTATTTATTTTTTAAATAAGGGGACTCCAATGTTTGGAAGATGCTCTGTAAAGTTAAATGGAAGGTTGAACCCATCTTTCTTGGGGCCTTGGTCGTGGCAATGTTTTCTTTTGGCAGGACAATTGGATGGGCCAACATTCAATCGACTCTATCACCAATACCTTTTCTATTGAGTCAGTTTAGGTTAGGGATTTCATTACTGATAACTGTTGGATTCATGATAAGTTGAAGAGAGTGGTGCCTGGTTCTATTGCTAATCAAATTGTGAACACTCCCCTGAATACTATTTCTGATGATCGTCTTTTGTGTAACTGGTGTAATGATGGTACCTTTAAGCTTCAGGATGCTTGGAATTCCTTCAGATCTAAGAAGGTTTGTTCCTATATTTTCTCTTTTATTTGGCATAAAACATTCCTTCTTTTATTGTTGTTTTCATGTGGAGGCTTTTGCATAAGCTTATTCCTATGGAGGATAATTTAATTAAAAGATGTTTCATTTTACCTTCCAAATGTCAATGTTGTTACCACATTGAGAACATGCATCATGTTTTTTTGTCTGGTCCTGTGGCCATTAAAACTTGGATTTATTTTGACGATGTTTTTAAGCTCAATTGTTTTAATTCTAACCTCTCCATTTATACTCTTTTGGGGTCTTGGTTTGTCAAATCCAAAGGGCATATTAGGAATGTCATCCATTCTCTTATTCTTTGGTATTTATGGTTAGATCGGAACAACTCTTACTTTAATGGTGTGGGCATGAACCATAACAGAATCATTAATAATGTGAAAGACAAGGTCCTTAATTTATTATCTGTTAACCTCATTTCTATTAAGAATTTTAAAAATTGTAGGTTTGTTGCTAATGATCTTGGCATTTGCCTTGATGGCATTTTCCATCCTCCTGGTTCTAGACTAGTTCACTGGATCAAGCCTCCTATTAATTCTTTCAAGATGAATGTGAGTGGTAATTATGCTGGTTGTGGTGGCATCCTTAGAGATAGTCTTGGCAATATTATTATGGCCTTCACTGGCCCCTTAAGCGAGAGGGATAAGACTTCTGTTGAGCTTTCTGCAATGCTTTATGGTATTAAACTTTGTATTTCTTTGGATATTAGTACCTTTATCATTGAGGTTGATTCCTGTTATTGCATGCAATTTTTTAACTATTTGGATGACTCGGTTTGCAATGTGAATCTTTTCTATTTGGAGAGGGCGATCAAACAGTTTTTTGGTTTCTATTAACGTCAATTTCAATCATGTTCATCGGGAATGTAATTCTTGTGCTAATTGGTTGGTTACTTGGGGCTGCAGCTTTACTCACTTTACGTATTATATTGTTAAAAACATTCTTGTGCAGTTGAGAGGGCTTATTTATTAGGATGTTATTGGTACTCCTTATATTAGGACTTAGGTTGATGCGTTTGTGGCATTTTTCCTGGAGGTTTTCCTTGCTGCTGCATCCCAGTGTCTTCTGCTTTACTTCGTATGCTTTTCAATCTTATTTCTGCTTGGGTTTTTGATCCCTTGCTGGTGTTGGGCGGCTCTATATTTGGATCCTGGGTGCCAATGTTTTGTTTGCTTGCTGGGAGGTTTCTCTAGCTACTGGGAGCTTTTTTTATCTTGGTTTTTCTTTCATGTCTGTGAATACCTGATGTTTCTACGGGATGTTGGGGTTGCTGGGTTTTTCTTTCTTTTCTGTGATTGCCTTTGATCAATTCAGGTTGGATGTTGCGGAGATTCCAAATGATACTAACGAGTCCATTTGGTATCTTCGGGATGCTGGGACTGCTGGGAGGTTTCCCTCTCGCCGGCTGCTATATGTTTTCCTTTACCTTGGTTTGTTTGGGCTGTTGGGAGCTTTGTGCAGTTCTGGTGCTTGTGGCTGTCTCTGTTTAGGTTTGGAATTTATTATTGTGGTGATTATCTGGGCTGTTTTTCTGCTTTGCCTTGTTAGGCCTTTCTATGTTCTGTTTCCCCTCAGCTGCTGCTTTGGTAAGGCTATCTTATTTTCTCTTACATTTTGTATCTTATTATTGTGTACAAGTTTTTTTTGTAGTGCAGGTGGAAGTTTTGTTGCAGAGCTTGATTAGGAGATGGATCGTTTCCAGAGCTTTCTCTGTTCTTTGTGGTATCCTCCTTTTTTGGGTGCTCTTTCTTGTGCACCGTAGAATGTATATAGGTGATTATGTACTTTTGCGTAGAGGGGATCTCAAGCTTTTAGATTTTTATTTTCTTTTGAATAAACTTTCTTCATTACATCTAAATGAGAATTTGACTCTTAACCGAACACAATGGAGAAAAAAGATTAATGTAGCTGACCCCACGTAGTAGAATAAAAGCTTGATGTTGTTATTAATATATGTTACTTAAATTTAAAATAATTATTATATTATTAAATTTAATTACATTTTAGCTCATCTAAAATAAAGCTGAATTCATCAAATTAAAATTTGATTCCATTTAATCTATGATAAAACTAATCTTATCAGTTTAATTTTCAAATTTTAATAATTTAAATCAATTTTTTATATTTATACACACACGAAGAGCTGAACTAATTATATGCTTTATCAAATCTATCAAGAGACCACTGCGACATGTCTCCGTTTCATAAGCTCAAGGTGGTGGAGAATTGCCGGGTTGCAGCGGCGGCCAGCAGCTCCCCAACTCTCTGCGCCTCCATTCCTCTCACCTACTTCGACCTCCTCTTCCTTAACTTCCCTCCAGTTCAACGCCTCTTCTTCTACGACCTCCCTGTCACAAAATCGCACTTCCTCGACTCCGAGCTCCCCAACCTTAAGCACTCCCTGTCTCTAGCGCTCCGCCGCTTCTACCCCCTCGCCGGCTCACTCATATTTCCGGCGGAAGAAAAGTCACCTGAAATCCTATGTTCAGATTCAGATTCCATCTCCCTCACCGTCGCCGTAAGCAGCGACGACTTCCAGGAACTCTCAGCCAACCACGCTCGCGCTGCCGAGCGCTTTCGCCCTCTCCTCCAACCGCTGCCGGCGGCAGCTCTTCTCTCCGTTCAGGTTGGGGTTCTTGGTCTTTTCTTTTATGTTTAATTATTCCAGTTTTTAAGCTGAGTTTTTTTTTTTTTTTTTTTAAGATGATATGTAATCATTTTCCTTTAACTAGATCTTTGTTTCAGGGTTTTCTGTAGTTTTCAGGAAGCATTATTTGAAACTCCTGCTGATTTTGTTTTATTTTTAGTTTCACCATGGAAGAATATTTTCAAGATAATTTATTTTGATCGATAGTGATTTATCTGGCTCTTGTTTCCTTTTCTTTTATTTGCTCAGTTGAAACCCTAAAACGCATCGCTGCGGTTTTGAAGAAAACAGATTGGAACTTCAGTGTGGATCCGTGCAGTCAGCAAGCTGGCTGGGTAACTCATAATGGTCCTAGTGGATTTGAGAACAGCGTCTGGTGCAATAATTGCACTAATAATGGAAGCATCTGCCATGTGACAAGCATGTGAGTTTGGATATTTTTTACTATTAACTGCTTATTGTAAACTGATTGTTATATTTCTTTTTTTTTTTTTTTTTTTTTTTTTTTTTTTAAGAATTCATTGCTCTGTTTTTTACTTCAACTCCGTGGCTGGTATAGGTGACACTGTTTGCCAAAGCCGGCATTGTCATCGGCACCACCGTCCACCACGCCGCCGCCGACGGCTCCTCCTACACCCATTTCATGGAAACCTGGGCGCTAATCGCCAAAGTAGGCTCCGACCAACCACCACTCTCCCTTCTCCCGCCACCACTCTTCCACCGCACACTAATCTCTGACGCCAAAGACCTAACAACCACTTTCCTCAAAGACATTGAGAATCTCAAAAGCGACGACAGCTTAGACAAATGGGATATCTCAACCCGGCCCAATTTGGTGCGCGCGACCTTCGTTCTCGGGCCCGACGAACTCCACCGACTTGGCCAACGCACGGCGACTAAATGCTCGCCGTTCGCGTTGGCTTGCGGGCTTGTGTGGGCAAGCCTCGCGCGTGCGAGAGGCGGGACGAGTGCGAAGAAAGAGAGGTTCGGGTTCGTAACGGGCTGCCGGGCGCGGCTACGGCCCGCGGTCCCAAACGCGTATTTCGGAAACTGTTTGGGGATATGTTGTGTCGAGATCAAGAGGGAGGAGTTGATCGGAAGAAGGGGCGCGGCGGCGGGGGCGGAGGCGATATGGGTGGTGATAAAGGGGTTGGAAAAGGGGGTTTTTGAAGGGGCGGAGAGGTGGATCAGAGCTGTAAGGGAGTATGCGGCGAGCAGGGCTCTGACGGTGGCCGGCTCACCGAAATTGGGGATATATGGGGTGGATTTTGGGTGGGGGAGGCCGAGGAAGGTGGAGTTGGTGTCGGTGGAGAGGACGGGGGCGATGTCGTTGGCGGAGAGTCGAGAGGTGGAGGGTGGACTAGAGATTGGGATAGCGTTGCCGGCGAATGAAATGGAGGATTTTGTCGCTTGTTTTGTCGCTGGTGTTGCGGAAGATGAATGATATTTATGCCGGCGATCGCAGGCGTAGATACGGTCGTTTTCCCGTTTATTCTTTTGGATCGCTTTTTATTATTTTTTTATCAAATTTATGTGTAATCAAAATATTTAAATTTACATCTTCTTTCACCTGTCAACTTCATTAAGGATCTCATCGGATCGTCACTAATCCTCCTCCTGCAAATCTTTGGAGTGCTCCTCCTCATGCCGCCCGGCCCCGATCCCCTCGAGCAGAAGACGACGGGACGACGGGACGACGGTGGTATGGTACCAACGGGACTGGGAGTGTAATATTTTTTAATTGTTACAATATAAATAAAAAAACTTATATATTAAAAATGTAAATTTTAATATTTTGAATGGCTGGGGCGATAAAAATGCTCATTAAGTACTGCATCCGCATCGTGCGGACATTGCCAGTCGTACGAGAAATGATGTACTGTCGGAGAGGAAGGAGCTAGGAACGTCGAGCCATTGCCGTGGTGGTCGCGGCTGCCCTTTATTTTATTATATTATATT